TGGACAAAAAATGTAAAAAAAGAATATATATATTTATGCATATGTATAAGTGAATCACTTTGCTGTACATCTGAAACACAACATTATAAATCAACTCTATTTCAGTAAGGAAAAATTTTAATGCAAAAAACAAAAAAGAAAGAATGAATTTGGACTATCTTACAAAATTAACTCAGAATGGACCAAAGACCTACATAAAACTGTAAAACTCTTAGATGAAAACATAGGTGTAAATCTTCATGACCATGAATTTGTCAATGTTTTCTTAGATATGGTACCAAAAGTACAAGTAAAAGAAAAAAAAAACTGGACTTCATCAAAATTTATAACTTTTGTGCTTCAAAGGACACCAAGAAACTGAACCCACATATAGAAGAAAATATTTGCAAATCATATATCTGATAATGGACATGTATCTAGACTATATAAACTCTTACAACTTAATAATGAAAGATAACCCGTTAAAAATGGACAAAGGACTTGAATAGACATTTCTACAAAGAAGATATTAAAATGGCTAATAAGCACATGAAAAGACACTCAGCATCATTAGTCATTATGGAAATGGAAATCAAAACCAAATGAGATACTACTTCATACCCCCTGGGGCGGCTGTAATAAAAAAGACAGATAATAACTGTTGTTTAGAATGTGGAGAAATTGAAACCCTTATACACTGCTGAGGGAAGATATAATGGTAGAGCCACTTTGGAAAACAGTCTGGCAACTACTCAAAAGGTTAAACGTAGAGCTACTATTTGACCCAGCAATTCCACTCCTAGGTATATACCAAGAGGAATGTATATGTATGTCTACACAAAAGCTTTTATTTGGGTCATAACAACACTATTCATAATAGCCAAAAAGTGGAAACAATCCAAATTTCCATCAGCTGAAGAATGGATGAACAATTGTGGTATACCCATCATTTAAATATTATTCCTCTATAAAAAGGAATGCAATACTGATACGTGCTACAATAATAGATTAACCTTAAAAACATGCTAAATGAAAGAAGTCAGTCACCAAACACCACATATTGTGTGATTTCATTTATGTAAAGTGGCCAGAATAGGCAAATCTCTAGAGACAGAAAGTAGAGTGGTGGTTGCCTGTGGCTGGGGGAGATAGAATGAGGAAATGGGAAGCAACTGCTAATAAGTTCAGAGTTTTTAAGAGGGTAACAAAATGGCCTAATATTAGATTGTGGCGATGATTGCACCACAGTATGAATATACTAAAAAGAGTTGAATAGTTGTGATAGAGACCATGTGGTCCACAAAGCCTAATATATTTACTATTGAGCTCTTTACAGGAAAGTTTGCCAATTTCTCCCTTATAGTAAGTTTTAAACTGAAATGTGTGAGTCCTCCAACTCTTTTCTTCTTTGTAAAAATTGTTTTGGCTATCCTGGGTCCTTTGCATTTCCATATAATTTTTTTTTTTTTTTTCGGTACGCGGGCCTCTCACTGTTGTGGCCTCTCCCATTGTGGAGCACAGGCTCCGGATGTGCAGGCTCATCGGCCATGGCTCACGGGCCCAGCCGCTCCGCGGCATGTGGGATCTTCCTGGACCGGAGCACGAACCCTTGTCCCCTGCATCGGCAGGCGGACTCCCCAGGCGGACTCCCAACCACTGCACCACCAGGGAAGCCCATCCATATAAATTTTAAGATCAGCTTGTCAGTTTTTCCAGAAAGGTCTGCTGGATTTTGATAGTGATTGTGTTAAATTTATAAGTCAAATTGAGGAGATCATTTTTTAATTAATCTCAAATTGTCTGATATTTTACTGGTGAAAACCTCTTCAACTGTCTTATGTGTCCTTTTTATAAGAACTATATAATTTTTGACCACTCCCTTGCTTTCTGGCATAAATTATTTCAAGGTCATTTCATAATTGTTCTTGTCACAGCTAAGGAGTTCTGGTTCTTTCAGTGGAGTCAATATTTTGGTTCTTGGTACATTGCTATCGGGGATGTTACTGCTCCAAAGCCCTCTCAGTGCACAGAGCTAGGGTATATTTGAATATAAATACATAAATAAATAGATACATACATAAGTAAATCCCCTATATACACACACATACACATTTATATCTATTAATTATTTATGTCATTGTATGTGTATATTTGTTTTCTTTTCTTTTTTTTTTCTGGTACGCGGGCCTCTCACTGTTGTGGCCTCTCCCATTGTGGAGCACAGGCTCCGGACGCACAGGCTCAGCAGCCGTGGCTCATGGACCCAGCCACTCCGCGGCATGTGGGATCTTCCCCGACCGGGGCACGAACCTGTGTCCCCTGCATCGGCAGGCGGACTCTCAACCACTGCGCCACCAGGGAATCCCTGTATGTGTATATTTGTATATTATATATGTATATACCTATATTAACATTCATGAGTAGTTCACACTGAATCCGCTAGTTCTAATCCAATACCGCAGAGTTCTTCCAGTTTTCTTCATTTCCATATTTGTTACTCCCTTCTTTGCAATGAGAAACCTGGCTTACATATTCTGTAATATACCTATATGTTTATATATTTTATATAAATAGATAGTTATAGCTGTGTCTGTATCTATACACTATATACTATATTAGTCTATATATATTTATGTATGGTAGGATTGGACTTTCCACCATCTCTGTGACTATCAGAGACAGACTGTCTTCTTTCCTCATGTTCTAACTGGGACCCCAAGAGGTCAAGGAACATTCCCAAGATCATTCTATTAGTGATGGACACAGGCCTTGCTGAACACAGGCCTCCCCACCCCCTGATGGGTTTGATTGTTTCCTGTGATTCCACAGCAAGCATAGACCTGACTCCCAGTAGGAGGATGTCTTAGATTGGCTGCCCTTGAAACAGACTCTGAGCTGCAGAGAGTTTGTTCCACAAACTTGTACAGGGAGTCTGTTAGAGAACATGCTCAGTAGACACAACTGTAAGGGGCAAAGGAGACAGAACTGGGCAGAAGGAGAAGCCAACCAAGGTTGGAAATGAGACCTCAGATCACCCTACAAGCAGATCTGGAGCTGGGGTAGCCCCCGAAGTTGACTCAAGTTGTGAGATGAGGAGCTGGCTTTTTTATCTCCACATCAGCCCACCATTGGCTATGGGCTGGCCCCTGGAACGGGGCATAGCCTGCATGGCCAGTTCCCTGTAGCTGAGGGCAGTTTCCAGTGAGAAGTGCAGCTATGAACTGTCAACAATTAATACAGCAGCTGAGGGATGGGTGCGTCAGCTCTGAAGAGGGGATGGGATAGAGCCCCACAGAATCCACTAGAGGGAAAGAAGTCTAGCCTGCAGGCAGTGATGTCAGACAAGTATTCAGCATCGCACAGGAGGTGGAGCTCAAGGAGCAGAATTAGAACAGGCAAGGACAGCTGGCATTTTGGCGCTAGAAACAGGTCCTGGGAACAGCTTACTGGGCATGAAGAGAGCACATGGTGTGAGAAGGTTCTGAGCTGGACCTTTTACTTCAGGCCTGTGTGTTTAGGGGCTGAATGGTCCAAGTAAAAAGAAATCGCAGGATCTCTCTGAGTTGCTTCCTTTCAGTTCATCAACTTCAACTGGCAGTTGTGATTTAGTTATGTGTTGCTTTCCTCCTTGAGTACTGAACTTAAGACAGTTGATAAATTGACCTCATAAAAAAATATAAGCTCAAGGGGAATTCCCTGGCTGTCCAGTGGTTAAGACTTGGGCTTGGGACTTCCCTTGGTGGTGCAGTGGTTAAGAATCCATCTGCCAATGCAGGGAACACAGGTTTGATCCCTGGTCCGGGAAGATCCCACATGCCACGGAGCAACTACGCCTGCGCGCCACAATTACTGAACCTGTGCTCCTAGAGTCCATGCTCCACAACAAGAGAAGCCCCCGCTTGCCGCAACAAGAGAAAGCCTGTACACAGTAACCAAAACCCAACACAGCCAAAAAAAAAAAAAAAAAAGACTCGGGCTTTAACTGCCGTGGACCCAAGTTCAATCCCTGGTTGGGGAACTAAGGTCCCACAAGCTGTGCAGTGTGGCCAAAAAATTCTGATTTTTACAATGGAGTCTTAGTCTGAGACTGGTTATGATCCTTGGATACTTCTACCAGCCACTTAAAGCCAACATAAAATTGTGTTGATGCTACCCTGAGGTCAGCTCAGCCCACAGGTAAGTCCTAGAAGGAGGTACTTTTCTGTTCTAGTCAGGAGTCTTTGCCTTCTGTGGGATTTGTGCCTATTCTCCCCGTATCACATGGGGTTCACTTCCTTCTTGTGCTGAATCCACTTGTGTCTAATCCATTGACTATTCTCTCAGCCCCTCTCTGCATTAACTCTGTTCCATGGGAGGGCCCAGAGGACACTCCTTTTATCAAAGCAGTCAAGAATGCACTAGTAGGGACTTCCCTGGTGGCTCAGTGGTTAAGACTCCGCACTCCCAATGCAGGGGGCCCGGATTCAATGCCTGGTCAGGGAACTAGATCCCACATACATGCCGCAGCTAAGAGTTCTCATGCCACAACTAAGGAACCGGTGAGCTGCAACTAAGGAGCCCACGTGCCGCAACTAAGACCCAGCACAACCAAATTAATCAATCAGTTAATTTTTTTAAAAAAAGAAAAGAATGCACTGGCGAGGGGCTTCCCTGGTGGTCCAGTGGTTAAGACTCTGTGCTTCCAATGCAGGGGGTGTGGGTATGATCCCTGGTCAGGGAACTAAAAATCCGATATGTCTCGCAGAGTGGCCAAAAAAAAAAAAAAAATGCACTGGTGAGAGAGACACCAGCATCAAGGAAAAACAGTGGTGACTGGTCTGCGGAGGCTGGGGCTAACAGTAGGAGATGCTCTTAGACTATCAGCTTCATCATAGGATGCAAAGATAATAGAGGTCAAGTGGCATAGCACTTAACTCTAAGAAGAAAAGTGAGCACAATTATTTTAATTAAAGAAATGCAGAAAGCTCTACAACTGGTTAATAGAAATGGGGTATAGTCATCATCTTACTTCATCTTCCCAGCAGCCCAGTGAAGCCATTTTACAGAGAAGCAAATCAATGCTGGGAAGGACCAACACCTTTGCCCAAGATCCACTGAAAGAGGCAGACCTGGACTCAACTGCATGGCCACCTGTCACCCAAGTCCAAGCATTAGCATCACACCATGCTGCTTATGGAAGAAGCGTGAGACACAGTTCCAACCCCTCCAGTAGCTAACAGGTCTCTGGGAGACAGGATCAGTATGAACAGATTCAGAGGAGGAACAGAGATAATGTTTGTTGAAACTTGATTCTATGGGATTTTCATCAGAACTCAGAGGTTGGCACTTACGCACAGACCTACTGTATGGAGCACGTGGATTGGTCAGCACAAGGAGGTGCTGTGGTGCATCACCCAATTTCCCCTTCTGGACCCAAGGTACTTATCTCACTAGCTGCCTGTGGGTTCTAATCACAGGACATAGAGCTTCTGAAATTCCATACCATGCTCAATGCTTGGCTTCATCATAGCACTAGTGCTCCTTTAAAATTGTGTGGTGGATCATCTTCTAACCTTGAACACTGACTGTAAACTCATTTTCTTCCTTTACTTTCTCAGAGAATTGCAGGTCAGCTACTTGCAAAAGTTCCTTTATCTTTGCCCTGGCATCTGCTTTGTTTCCCTTCAGGAAGCTCTCCTGCTCTGTGTCTGAACTGTAACCTGGAGTCATGATAAATACATTTATAGCATGTGCTATACTGAAAAAAACACCAACAAATTAGCTTCCTCAAAAAATTAGACATAGAATTACCAAATAATTCAGCAATTTCACTTCTGGGTACATACCCAAAAGGATTGAAAGCAGGAAATCAAACAGATATTTGTACACCAATGTTCATAGCAGCATTATTCACAATAGCCAAAAAGTGGAAGCAACCCAAATATCTATGAATGGATGAATAAATAAACAAAATATGGTTGGGATATTAATCAGCTATAAAAAGGAATGAAGTTCTGATAATGCTACAAATGGATGAACCATGAACATATTATGCTAAGTGAAATTAGACACAAAATGACAAATATTATATGATTGCACTTATATGAGGTACCTTTAATAGACAAATTCATAGAGAAAAAGTAGAATAGTGGTTTTACAATAGCCAAAACATGGAAACAACCTAAATGTCCATTGACAGATAACTAGATAAAGAAGATGTGGTATATATACACAATAGGATATTAGCCATTAAAAAGAATGAAATAATGCCATTTGCAGCAACATGGATGACTTAGAGATTATCATACTAAGCGAAGTATGTCAGAAAGAGAAAGACAAATACCATATGATATCACTTATACATGGAATCTAAAATACAACACAAATGAACACATCTACAAAACAAAAACAGACTCACAGATATAGAGAACAGACTTGTGGTTGCCAAGGTGGGTGGGAGGGAAGGACTGGGAGTTTGGGATTAGTAGATGCAAACTATTGTATATAGGATGGGTAAACAACAAGGTCCTACTGTATAGCACAGGGAACTATTCAATATCCTGTGAGAAACCATAGTAGAAAAGAGTATGAAAAAGAAAAAAAATATATATATATATAACTGAGTCACTTTGCTGTACAGCAGAAATTAAACACAACATTGTAAATCAACTATACTTCAATATTTTTTTTTTTTAAGTAGAATTGTGGTTACCAGGGCCTGGGGGAGAGGTGAGTGGGAAGTTACTGTTTAATGGGTGCACAGTTTCAGTTTGAGATGATGAAAAAGTTCTGGAGATGGACAGTGGTGATGGTTGCACAACAATGTGAATGTACTTAATGCCACTGACCTGTACACCTAAATACAGCACATGCTATAAATGTATTTTCTTCATAACTTTGGAACCGCAACTTTAGTTCATTTACAAGATAGAAAATGTCAGCTGTATAATCCAGTTGCTAACACCAATCTTCTCTGTCATTAAATCAGATCAGATTTACCTATTGTCAGAAGACATCTGTTTATTTTTTACATCAAATAGATGTGTTAATACTTATTTCAAGGAACATGACAGTAACCACTAGGAAATAAATAAATCTTATAAATCAGATTATTAAAATCTATCTAGTTTAAAGTGATATAGTTCTTGGGCTTCCCTGGTGGCACAGTGGGCTTCCCTGGTGGCACAGTGGTTAAGAATGTGCCTGCCAATGCAGGGGACACGGGTTTCAGCCCTGGTCCAGGAAGATCCCCCATGCCACGGAGCAACTAAGCCCGTGTGCCACAACTACTGAGCCTGCGCTTTGGAGCCAGTGAGCCACAACTACTGAAGCCCACACGCCTAGAGTCTGTGCTCCACAACAAGAGAAGCCACCGCAATGAGAAGCCCATGCACCACAACGAAGAGTAGCCCCCGCTCGCCGCAACTAGAGAAAGCCCCTGTGCAGCAACGAAGACCCAATGCAGCCAAAAATACATAAATAAATAAATAAAATAAAGTGATATAGATCTAATATAATTAAGTTATCCATTTTATAATCTTACTAAAAATAAGATAATACATCAATATATTGTTTCTTACTAATTTCTAATAATGCAATGTAATGTGTAGCTAAAATTATACATGTGAAACAAGGAGTATGATAAATGCATGGTTTCCCTGGGTAAAGAGTACATATGTGTATGTGGATGTGATTCAAATTCTAGTGTTTAGCTTTTTAAAAAAATTAATAAACATCAAGTATAAAAACAGTAAATAACCCCATTATAGGAAATCTTTTCCTATTTAATGAAAGAGAAAAGTATTTACTGCTAAACACTAATTAAACTAGCATGTAATTTCATTTTTTTTTTTTGGTCAATAGAAGGTAGACCATATTTAACAATTTTTAGGGAGTTCCCTTGCTGTCCAGTGGTAGCACTCGGTGCTTTCACTGCCGTGGCCAGGGTTCAGTCCCTGGTCAGGGAAATAAGATCCCGCAAGCTACATGACGCGGCCGGAACAAAACCAATTTTTTTTTTTTTGCGGTACGCGGGCCTCTCACTGTTGTGGCCTCTCCCATTGCGGAGCACAGGCTCCGGACGCGCAGGCTCAGTGGCCATGGCTCACGGGCCCAGCCGCTTCGCGATATGTGGGATCTTCCCGGACCGGGGAACGAACCGGCGTCCCCTGCATCGGCAGGCGGACTCTCAACCACTGTGCCACCAGGGAAGCCCCAAAACCAATTTTTAAAACAATAAGGATTTACCATTGTAACAAATACTTCATGATATGATTTTTTTTTTTTTGGCTGCGTTTTGGGTCTTCATTGCTGCGCGGGGGCTTTCTCTAGTTGCGGCGAGCGGGGGCTACTTTCGCTACAGTGCTCGGGCTTCTCATTGAGGTGGCTTCTTTTGTTGCAGAGCACGGGATCTAGGCGAACGGGCTTCAGTAGTTGTGGCTCGCGGGCTCAGTAGTTGTGGCTCACGGGCTCCAGAGCGCAGGCTCGGTAGCTGTGGCACACGGGCTTTGTTGCTCCGTGGCATATGGGATCTTCCCAGACCAGAGCTCAAACCCGTGTGCCCTGCATTGGCAGGTGGATTCTCAACCACTGCGCCACCAGGGAAGCCAATCATGATATGATTTGATAAAAATGATTTTAACTACCTAATCAAGTAATGCACAACAAATCTAAAATAAATCAGATAAAAGTTTTATCCAAGATATCTGGAAAGATTTAGTAGTTCCAGGTATATTTAAAAGAATCACTGTCAATAGTCCATACTTCTTTTCTTTCCAAGAATGATCATTTAAAGACCTGCTTACATTGTATACATATAGAAAGACATTTTTGGCATTCAGGACAGAATCTCTTATCGTGCTTTTTTAAAATTGAAGTATAGCTTATCTACAAAATCTTGTTAATTTCAGGTGTACAACACAGTGATTCCGTTTTACATATATATATTCCTTTTCAAATTCTTTTCCCTTACAGGTTATTACAAAATATTGAGTATAGTTCCCTGTGCTGTGCAGAAGGTCCTTGTTGGTTATTTTATATATAGTAGTGTGTATATGTCAATCCCAATCTCCCATTTTATCCCTCCGTCACCCTCCTTTCCCCTTTGGTAACCATAAGTTGGTTTTCTATGTCTGTGAGTCTCTTTTTGTTTTGTAAATAAGTTCACTTGTATCTTTTTTTTTTGGCCAAGCCACGCGGCATGTGTGATCCTAGTTCGCCGACCAGGGATTGAACCTGTGCCCCCTGCATTGGAAACTTGGAGTCTTAACCACTGGACCGCAAGGGAAGTCCCTGTATCATATTTTGGATTTCACATGTAAGTGATGTCATATGATATTTATCTTTCTCTTTCTGACTTACTTCACTTAGTATGATAATCTCTAGGTCCATCCATGTTTCTGCAAATGGCTTTATTTCATCCTTTTTTATGGCTGATACTCTTGCCTTTTTTGTTCTGCTCTCAAGTGATTATCTAACAAGAGCTAGGCATTCTTGGGCAATAGTCAGGGGATAGAAGAGGCAAAATTATTGAATAAAAATTGTCAATACTCCCACTGCCTCTATCATTTATCCGAATTCAAAACTTGGGGCAGAATGCTCTGGTCTTAATTTAACTTTACTCTTAACAGAAATGAGCCCAAGACAGCGAGAGACAGCAAGCCCTCTCCAAGAGTAAAGAAGGGTAATGCCTTTTTCTTATAAAGGGACAGAGGGCTATTGGTGATCCAGGCCTAGACTTGGGCCAACCAATGTTAGAAAATTTATGGGCAATGAAGAACTGGAAACATGTATCAAAGCCCTAAGAAGGCCTTCTCATGCCCCAGTGGAATCAGATCCTGGTTTGAAGACCACACACACATCTTGGTCATAGTGGAGCTGGTGAAGTGATATTGCCTCTTCACTCTACCAGATTCAGAAGGACTTGGAGGTAAATCCCTCGTCCAGAAAAGGGAGGGACTATGACCTTTTAATAAGTAATTAATAATAATAATAATACCTTTTCTTAACTTATTCATAGGTTTTCATGAATATACTGTTACTTTTTATTATTTATGCTTAGTGCTCACACACACTGGTTTTCATGTTTTCTTGACATTAAAATTGACAAGAGATATCTTTTAATTCTTTTAATAGTTAGCCAAAATTTGATTTTCTCTTCAGAACTTTTTTGTTTGAAGATCTGTAATCATTTTGTGACTCTGTTTAAGTTCCTATATTGAGATCACCCCAGAACACTTTTTAAAGGAGCAATCTACCTAAACTGTTACACTTGGGAAATGGCTCAAGAGAAGCTAATTTATCAACATAATGAAATACCATGCAGTCAACAGAAATGGCAATGTTGAAGGCAAATGATGTGGTTGTGTACAATAGCATTTTAAAAAATTTTATTGGAGCATAATAGATTTACAATGTTGTATTAGTTTTAGGTGTACCACATAGTGATTCAGTTACACATATACATATATTCATTCTTTTTCAGATTTTTTCCCATATGAGTTATTACAGAATATTGAGTATAGTTCCCCATGCTATACAGTAAGTCCTTATTGGTTATCTATTTTATATATAGTAGAGTGTGTATGTTAATTCCAAGCTTACAAAGCATCTTAAATGCAGAAACTAGAACACTGATATCAGTGAGTCAGGTTATGTTGGTTCAGAGCTGAATTGGAGAAATTTAACATATTAAGTGGAAGATATATGAGGAATTTTTTCCCTTAAATCATTTTCTTAATGTGGTCAAAATATGTGTTGTACAATAAAAATATGCAGTGAATGTTGAGAGCAGTGATCACTGTTAATGAGTAAACAAAAGTGTTCCTTGCAAATTAATTAGTAAGTAAAAGAACTTTCAAAGGGCAACGAGCTTAAGTTATAAAAGGGAGAGTTGGTTATAGAAAAACCTATTTGGCAAAAGGCTGCCAAAGAGACCCTAAAACATCTCTCCAGGGGGTAAATTCAAGAAAGGCCAAAGTAATAGGCTTATGGGGTAATGAACAAATCTGCAGAATGAAGGTCCAAGGACCTGTTGCTATTGATAAGCTTGAATATTTTGACATCCCCTCTCAAAGCAAGAAAACTAGCCAAGGCAAAGGGAAATGTAGTGTGTATAAACTCAAGAACCACATATCAAATATGTGTAAACCTCTGCCTCTGTGTTTCAGCATTTGCCCCCCTCTCAAGTTTCTCCTCTTTCCTCTTTCCCTCCTTCCTGGGATCCTGGGTAAGGAAGCTTGAATAGGGGGAGTGGTTGGTCCTTGCTCATTAACCTATTTATCCCACTTGGATTTTGCCTCTGCTCTGTCAGCTCACTGGGATGTGCTGGCCAGTGAAGCTTACCTCAAGCTCCACTGCCTGGGAGTCTTCCTCAGCCACAGTTACTCTACAGCTCAGTTGCCTTGTTGGTTCTGATGTCATGTTGAATGTAGCACCATGTTGAACAGAGTACCACTGTGTGGTAGGGCCCTTTGGATGCAGCACTATGTTGGTGGTGGTAGCATGTTAGAGGAATTCCACGTTGGATAGAGTGCCACATTGGCAGCAGTGCCATGTTGGATGTAGCACCATGTTGGCAGTGGCACCAAGTAGACGGGGGCATGTTGGTGGGCCATCTGTGATTACTGAGTGCTGCACGGGCTCTCTAAATGACTGCTCCAGGAAATCCAGGACAAGCTGTCTACTCTGGGATTTCTCATCCCACCCCAAAACTGTGGGTCCTTAATACACATACTGTCCTTGGAAGTTCAATCCTGAGAGAAGTGTGGAACTAGAGCCCCACCTGTGACTTCTTCCTGTCTTCCAAAACATCGAAAGAAAGTAAAAATCACCCATCATTCCACCCTACATAGATAGCTGCTGCTATTTGCATAATAATATTTTTGTGTGTACATTTGAATGAAATGGTACATGTTATACATAATGTTTTATAATATTTTTATTTAGTAGTATATTTGTCAGTCTTTACTGTGTGTGTGTATGTGTGTGAGATCTTATTTATTTATTTTAATTTTTCTTGAAATATAATTGATTTACAATGTTGTGTTAGTTTCACGTGTACAGCAAAGTGATTCACATATATATATGTATATATATATATTCTTTTTTAGATTCTTTTTCATTATAGGTTATTACAAGATATTGAGTATAGTTCCCTGTGCCATACAGTCCTTGTTTTTTATCTGTTTTACATATAGTGGTGTGTATATTTTATACTCTTTTTTTTTTTTTTTTTTTTTTTTTTTTGGTACGCGGGCCTCTCACTGTTGTGGCCCCTCCCGTTGCAGAGCACAGGCTCTGGATGCGTAGGCTCAGCGGCCATGGCTCACGGGCCCAGCCGCTCCGCGGCATGTGAGATCTTTCCAGACTAGGGCACGAACCCCTGTCCCCTGCATCGGCATGCGGACTCTCAACCACTGCGGAAGCCTCCTGGTGTGTATATTTTAACCCCAAACTCCAAATTTATCCCTCCCCTGCCTTTCCCCTTTGGTAACCATAAGTTTGTTTTCTATGTTTGTGAGTCTATTTCTGTTTTGTAAATTATCTTTATTTTTAATGGCTGTATACGCTTCCATAGTATAAATGTACAACTCATTTAATCAATTCCCTATTCATTTTGGGTGCTAACAATTGTTCACTCTTATATAAACAGTGGTGTATATCTTTGCAGAGAAATCTCTGTTCATCACCACGATGTTTTCATTAGTAAATTTCCTAGAATTAGAATTTCTGGGTCAAGGGATAAACTAAAGTGATGCATGCTCACTGTAAAAATTCAAAGAATACAGAAGTTTATATTGCTAATAGGTGTATACACTTTCAGCCTTTTTTCTCTGCAAGTCCACACACATATGTGTGCACACACACAGACACACATTTATAAAAGGTAAAATGGTATCATACTATGCATATTGTTCCACAGCTTGCTCTTTTATAAGAACTAGAGTAGATCATGAACATCCTCCTAGTCTATAAGTTTACCTCATTTTAAGTTGCAGAGTATTCCAGAATAAAGGTATATTTTGTAAGCCATTCCCCAGTGGACAGACATTTAAGTTGCTTACAGTTTTTCTCTCTTATAAATTGTGTGGCAGTAAATATTCTTGTTTGTATAACTTTGCACATTGTGTGAGTGATTCTTTAGGATAAATTTCTAGAAGTGGATTTCTGGGTCAAAATGTGTTAGGAACATACTGAAGTTCAGTCTCAGCCTTGGTATTCTACCAAAATTTGATATTTGCGTTTGGTTTTAGCCAAATAGCAAAATGCCTATCTTGTGATCACTTCTGACTTTCCTGACCTCGTCATCAGTGATCACATGGTAGCCCTGGACATCAACAAGTCCATCTAGTCAACCAAGCTCCTGCTTCGCTTATTGACTGTGGTAGGTAGAATAATGCCCCTCCCCCAAAGATGTCCATTTCTCTCTTTTTTTTTAAATTTATTTAATTTATTTATTTATTTTACTTCTTTATTTTTGGCTGCATTGGGTCTTCATTGCTGTGCACTGGCTTTCTCTAGTTGTGGCGAGGGGGGCTACTCTTCATTGCGGTGCGAGGAGTTATCATTGCGGTGGCTTCTCTTGTTGCAGAGCATGGGCTCTAGGTGCTCGGGCTTCAGTAGTTGTGGCTTGTGGGCTCTATAGCACAGGCTCATTAGTTGTGGCACACGAACTTAGTTGCTCTGCGGCATGTGGGATCTTCCCGGACCAGGGCTCGAACCCCTGTCCCCTGCGTTGGCAGGCAGATTCTTAGCCACTGTGCCACCAGGGAAGTCCAAGATGTCCATTTCTAATACCTGAAACAGTGAATATGTTAGGTTACATGGCCAAGGGGGATCAAAGGTGCAGACAGAATCAAGTTTACTAATCAACTGATTTTAAAATAGATTATCCTGGATTATCCAGATGGGTACAAGATAATCACGAAGGTCCTTAAAAGTGAAAGAAGGAAGCTGAAAGGAAGGGTCAGAGGGAGACCAGACTATGGAAGAACAGTCAGAGAGATGGCTTTGTAGATGGAGGAAAGGGGCCATGAGCCAAGGAATGTAGGCAGCTTCTAGAAACTGGAAAAGGCAAGGAAATGGATTCTTCCCTATTGTCACCTTGATTTTAGCCCAACATCAGACTTCAAACTATAAAATAATAAATTTGTATTGTTTTAAGCTACTAAATTCGTGGTAATTTGTTACAGCAGCAATAGAAAACTAATACCGTGATCAAGAGATTTCTGGTCTAACA